TTCTCAAATGATAAATAAATTTTTAGCTCCAAGACAATGTACAATAAACCGGGTTAATACTCCGTGTTAATTAGGTTTACAAGACAACTAACCGATTGGAGGAGAGCAACGCTAGAAGAGTGCCCTACCGATAATTGACCGAGGCAACAAATCCGAAAGCTTGAATTTATTCTTGCTAACAAAATTTGAAAGCTTTTTATCATTTGAAGGGGCTAAAATGACTACATAAAAGGTTATCACGGATAAACAAAAATGATGAAGTACAAACAAATAATTAAACTAGCATCTGCATTAAAATAAGTAAAAGCACAAAGAGAACACTTTCAGAATCTTTCAGCAAATAAAAATGTTCTTAATAAGCCCGATAAAGGAAACTTCAGGCAACTGCAAATAATATTATATCCAACGTTTGATAACAACTATGATTGGACACTTCTCTGAAGTTATATTTCTCTGCCCCATTACTTATTCAGCCATAGGAGTCAACATAATGCAGTTTCATAAAGACAGAAAGATTCGGATAGACCGACATTCAAAGAGAAACAAAAAAAAATCAATTTCCACAAGTCAGAAGTGGTCTCAAACTAATCACATAGGCAATTCTGTTCAAGCAACAGTACCAAGATTCGGAAATACTATGCCACTTCCAAATCGAAATGGCTCATATTAAGAGTGTTATCATAAAAAAGTCCTACATGACTGCTTTACAGAGGTGGAGAGGGAGAAAAAAACGCGCAGTCATGTCCATGTGCATTTTCTTTTTTGTTGTTCTTTTTTATTTTAGGTCTGTAGGCTTCCAGCTCTTTAACTTTTCTTCAGGGGTTAAATTTTGGAACTGTATGTGTAAACTTTGTTTGGCTCCTCGCCGGTTTCTTAAGGTGCGGCTGCCGGTACAAGTAAGCCGGTTTCTCGGTTATCGCCTGTTGTGTGCTCGCATAAGCGTTCAAGGGAAGTTGCTTTGTAAAGGTTGGGTAATAAGAAAGCAAGGTTGTCGTCTTCGGGCCATAATTCCGCTTTCGCGTCCAGTGGTGTGGGCGTGTCTGAGAATCGCGGTTCAAATGCAGATGTTCTGACTGTGGCATGGTCGCAAGCGATGCATAGAGAGGCTGGTGCTGTTGAGTGTGGGGCGACGGTAAGAAGTGGCTCCGTTGTGAGGCCGCCCGCAGGTACCTTCTATACAATGTTTCTGATTAATGTCTGCATTTGTGTGGTAGAACTTCAAACTTTCTGTTGTATTGTAGGTGCCAACGATGGGCGTCATTTTTTGGATAATGTGCCCACTGCTGCGTACATGTTGCTTCCTCTGTGCGTGCTCCTTCTTTGCAATTGGTTAGATCCTTGCACCTTTACCCTTTACTCTTTCAGTTTTATTTTTCCCATAATGTGTTTTGTTTTGATGTCAACTTTGGCTCATATCCTTCGATTTTTCAATCTTGTTCGCCGGTGGAGTTGTTTTGTTTGAGATGTCTGGTATTGATCATGATCAGACAATGTAAAGGAGTCTATAGATGCGTGTATTTGTGGCTGAACTTCATTTTCTGGTACTTAGGTGCTATTTTTATCTTTGTATTTGCACTTTGCAGCGATTATAGCGATGAAGGGTGAATCAGCTCAGTACACGAAGTCAAGTGATGCGCTTGTGTTGGTGGAGTTTATATCAGTGAGAAAGATCTGTAAAGATGAAGTCGAGAGCAATCGAGATAGGCAAGATAGCTGCAGAGATAAATTGAATTAATTAGATTAAATTTCATAAGCAATTGCCCACTATATTTAATTGGCTTATCTTCTTGAACCATTGGAAAAGTTCTTATTTTTGAATGACGCAAAATTGTAGTAGTAAGAAAACATTGCATCTTTTTATTGTCTTACCTTTGTTTTATGTCAGAATTTGTTTGTTCCTTCTTTCCTTCTCTAATGGAGAATTGTGTATCCATTTGTTGTATTTTGTTAAGTTTATGCTTACTATTCTCAGTGTTCACAGAAAAGAGAGTTTCACTTCTTATGGCAGTTGTTGTTCTTGAAAGAGCTTTGATCAATCCTTTGATTGAATATGCTATTGATTTTGATCCAAGGTAAACATATTTCGAAGATACATATGATTATTGGGATGCATCTTTTAGCCTGTTGCCATTTGGAACATACTCATTTACTTAGTTGACAGTTGAACTTTGTTGAATGTAGTTTTTGTTTTCCTGTTAAGTTGCATAAAGTTTTTTTCATTGATAGGGAGCCATTCTATTCTCTCCTATGCCTGAAAGTATTATGCTTATCGTTTGAGTGTTGTAATTTCTCATGCATGATTTAACTCGACAGAAAAAACTCCATCTATTGGATGTGTGTGAAATGGACTGATAAATGTTTTGATCAGTTTAAGTTCCTGAAGGATGAGATGCATATTTTGTTGCCTTGCCTAATAGTGTGCGTGTAATATTCTGCTATGTGTCCTTGATATTTGGAATATTGTTTCATTTAAGGGCCTCTGTTTCTGAATTTTACTTATTTATTTAGCCGTTTTCTTATGACATAATGTGATTCATTCAACTAATGTTCCTTTACATGTGACACATTTGAAAGCCCTAAAATTAATTGGTAATAGAGTTGAAGCGATACTATATATTTTTTTTAGGTTAAGAAGGTTGATGTTGATTTTTTCTCTGTTTAACGTTTATTTCTTCTTGAAGCATTCTGGTAAGTGCTTTTCTCGATTGTTATTGGGCTTTGCTTCTTTGTTTGCAGCTGCCATGGTATGGTAGCCAGGCGTGGAGATTTTCTATACCTCGGGGGTTTACTTTCTAGGATCGACTCCTTATTTTTCTAGGAGTGCTTAGGCAGATCTCACATTGTTGTGTAAAAAGATTTAGCAAATTGATTGGAAAGTAAATTGTAGATAAAAAAATAATGCAAATACTGCTCATATTCATTTTGATCAACTGATATCTAACACAGACGTGTTAATTTAAGGAATTGGTTGGCATATTCTCCACTTGCTCAGTTTTCCCTTTGCTTGTAACTTTAGGAAATATAACGAGAGGACAAGCGATGCCAGATATGTTGTCTCGGACTTTTAGGTATTTGTTAATCTTTTATCCACAACCTCTTTGTTTAAGTGTCATGCAATCAATTTCCAGTAGCTTTGCAGATCAAATGGTTCGTAATATATTGATTGTATTTGGTATGTCATAATACGCAGTACGCATTCATGTTGTGCTTTACCTTTATGGACCAAATGGACGCTAAAGTAGCTAGTTGCGTATGATTAAAGAGTTTCTGAATGCATTCACCTTTATAATTTTTTGGACGTTAGTCAACTTTTGCTTTAGTCCTTAATCTTATCAATTCTCAACTTTGAAGAAGTCTTGCAAGTGGTGTTGATTTATTTGACTCAACGTATGTTGCCGATCTACTATGACAATCTTTATCTTTTCATGAGCTTTATTTTATTATTTTTTAGAAAAAAGATCAATTCTATTAAGTTTATTTTATTATTTTTTTAGCTGTGTGATGCTGGTTCTAATGGCACGCGGAGCTCATCAATGGTTCCGGGTGAGTTCATATTTTTTTTTAAAAAAAAGTCGTACGCTTATTTGGGACATGGGTAGATGGTTAGTCATAATTTATTAATTTATCACGAACTTTCATTTCATCCATAGTTTCATATTCTTGTAGTGTCTTTGTTGTATAATGTTTTAGTTGTTGCAGTTATTGATGGTAGTGATGTATGTCTTTGAGTTTAGTGTTACACCGAGAGCTATTTTGATGAAAATGAAATTGTGTCTAGGATTAGATTTGATCACATATGAGTCCTGGTCTAAAAAACTTTACTATCACATCTTTAAAATTTTTCACAGTAGTTTTACACCGAGTGTTAGACCGCCGTGCGTGCACGGCGTAAATCCATCTAGTATATATATATATATATATATATATATACGAGTTAAGGCGGTTGTGGTGCCGACAAGTGTCCATTTTCGACACTTCCACTGATCGAAACGTGTCCCCTACCTTTCAAAGACTATACTTTTAGGCGTAAAATGGTACATAAAGCCTGC